CAGATGAGGTTGTCGAAGAAAGCTTCATGAAAAACATGAGAAGCATCTGACCAGTGTATCGGAACCAGCAGAACTGGTACTGGGCAAGTACAGCGAGAGTGCTGGAATACAATTTAACGTGAGAATCAAAAAGACAGAAAAGAAAATTAACCTCCGACTTTGATGCACTCGATATATATAGGAGACAGACTAGTTTTGAATGCATTTATATATTCATATACTGTAGTTTGCTTCTATATATCAAAGATTCCATAAATTCGTATACTTTAGTTGAATTTATTATTAAACTGTCTTTCAGATATCACTAATTGGTAACAAAGCTATTTTGGAGCTGCAACGTATTTCGGAAACCCATGCTGGTGACTATGTTGTAACAATTCGTAATCCGCTAGGTGCTGCTCAAAGTCAAGCAAGACTAAGAATTCAGCTACGATAGAAATTATTACCTCGTTCTTGACGACTTATTTTTGCTACTCATCGACTTGCGTAGTACACCATATCTGTATGATGAAGATTTTGATTTATTGAATTGCAACTAAAATTTAGAGTATATGTTCCAGACTTCCCCGTAATATTCTCCTACTTTTCCTGATTTTTATGATCATTCTCATAGTCGTTTGATTTCAGAATACTCTTGAAATGTGGGTTGAACATTTAGTTGCATATTACAGAAGGTTTCTTCCATTGATCGTGAAAAAAATCACAGCTAAATTCATTATTCCCAGATTTGTCTTGAATGTATTTATTTCGGACCTGTGAGTTATTCTCATTCATATTGTCAATTTATAGACTTTGTATTTGGTGGCCTTTCTTATGTGAGTTGATTTTCGGTGCACTGAGTAGTAAGTTGTTAACTTTTGCCCCATACCTATATCAGCCTTTAGTGCATGCATTGTGATGCAGAACCTAGTACTTATTGAAATTTTGTGCCTGTTTTGAAATTTAATCTTCACTTTTCATGCGATTTTCGGAAGTTGCTACAGTATTTTATGCTAATTTTGTTTCACTAAATAAAGCATTTTAAATAAATCATATTTTGAACACATTAAGATTCAGCTGCGTTCCTGTTTTTTAAATATGTAATCTTGGATTGTATTCTGTACAAAGAGTTTGGGATGAATTGGACTGGCAAGCACATCAAGGTTTAGATTTTTTGATCAATAGCTGGTTTGTTTGCCGAGAATTTCAAACTGTCAGTTACAAAAGCAAGAGCTGAGTGCATAACGAAATATTCGATTTGTGGCATATCTTCCTCACAAAAGTTTTAAATTTAAGCAATGTTTGTTCTTAATTTCTTGGCTAGCTTCTCTCTTTTGCTCCCTTTTGTAATTCTGCAGGCTTGTTCAAGCATTCGAACGCATTCATGAAGTCACAAATCAAAATATAAAAATTGAGAGTTTTCACTTTTTTACATTTATACAAAGTTTAATTTTAACAACAAATCTAAGATAAATTCATATTTTTGTGATTCCAATTCAATTTGATTTTTCAGTGGATGATGCTAATTGTTTATTAAATTAAAGCGTTTGCTTTGCTTTAAGAAACGTTGTTTTTGAATCTGTTGAAGATAATTCATTTGTATTACTGCACAAACTAAGTAAATGTTAAACAAATAACTGTTACATTGAATGTCCATCCATGAAAATGACAAGAAAATTAGTCATCATGATTCAGCAAAAACAGTTAAATTCTCAAACTGATCTCATTTAAGCTACTTTGATTGAAATAAACCAAATTATAGAGGATTGAAGTAAGTAAAAAGTAAAGTATGAACAATCAGATTCCAATTATATTCACTGCAAATGTGGCTTGATAGTTGTTTGATTCACTCAAATGTTGAAGGTTTTTTTACATCTAAAAAGAATTAATTCACTGTGCTGAAACTTTGTTGCTTAAATTTCTACGCTCTTTAATAAATGAATTTATGAATGATTCGAATCAGATCATCAGAAAAGTAAGCATAAAAATATGTTCAAATCATTGAATGATTACAGTGATTTACAAAAAGTTGTAGATTGAATGCTCATATGGATAATCATGTAAAGCTCAATTTTAGGATACGGTCTCAAAAAAAGTATATTGTGTTTCTGCAATTGACACGTCTGTAACCATTCTATTTTTACGTAATTTTTTTTGAAGTATTGATTTCAGTATTGATTTCAAATTAATTATTTCATTTCTAACAAATTTAAAAGTAATTTTAAGTATAACTAATTTATATATCTTTATAAATATAATAACTGCTATTATTTGGTATCAGTCACCAATATGCACATAATTTATCATTCAGAAAATTGATAAATTTGGCTCTGACTACTACTGTAAATGATTACTGTTCATCATAGTACACAGAGAAAACAGTACTTACTCTGCATCATGCATTAATTAATGACTACGGAGACGGAAAATGAAGTGAAGTATTACAAAAATTTATAGAAGTGAAGTATTACAAAAATTTATAGAAGTGAAGTATTACAAATTCTATATTGCAAATTTATAGAAGAAAAAAGTAAAATATAGTGGCATTTTGCTAGGCATGTGTTAAGCTCAGACACCCGAACATATGCTAGACGGATGAATCAGTGAGCAGAATGATCAGAAGGAAGAATAAGTATTAGTTTGTGCATTGTGGGATTATTTTGCTATTGCTACTGCTATTGCTATGCTATGTGTTGCTATGCTAGCATTTGGTACAAAAAAAGAGGAGAATCATTTTTGAAGCTTGCAAACAAAATAAATGAGATATGATGCAAATGCAAAAGGAATAATTAAGATATGAGATTAAATAAATAAATAAATAAATAAAACGAATAAATAAATAAATAAATACTGGAAAAGAAATGAAGTTGGAAAAAATTTAGATAAAACAGGAAAAAATAATAGAAATAAAATTAATCTGTAAAAAAATTAATATTCGTAGATGCAATGGATAAGTATAGAAAAGAAAAAAGAATAAGAATAGAAATAAAACGTAAGCATTTCTAGCATAGTTGCTAGAAAGTTTACTGCACATTAGACATTACAACAATGTGCAGAAATTTGAAAAATAGCAGCGATTTAAGGAGAGAAAACTTTCAGTAAATATCGCAAGAAGTGCTGAAAGATAAAAGTGAACATATGTTTGAACGATAATGTGAAACTAAAAACAATAATACTGATAATAATAATAATACTAATAGCAATAATGATAATAACAATGATAATGATAGTAATAAACTAGCAAGCTGCAGAGGAAGAGTTTTTAACGTTTGCTAAACTCAAAAGTATGTTCAGTATACATTTGTCTTTTCATACTGACTTGACCGACTTTTCAGTGCCCTCCGAGAAAATTTCCTCAGAACGCTTATAGCGATTTAAAATCGCTCAATAACTGACTGATAATAATATACTTGAAATTTACTGAGGGCTACTGTCTCATCGGAGTCTACTCAAAATTCTCAGGTAACAATTTGTATTAAAATTTTTTTTTAAGAATTTATAATTTAACAAGTTATGTTCTAATTACTGTAAATTTTTGTACACAATATCACCTACAATGTTTTTTTTTTACAAATTTATTTTCTTCGTATTTACTAATTACGCAAATTATGCGCTATTTACGACTACTTCATCGCACTTCATAAATTTTGTCAAATTTTAATCTAATTGAATTAAAATGCTACTTGATAAGTTAGTATAATTACTAAATTTAAATCGCACAATAAAAATCCAAAAATTTATTTCTTCAAAGATTGCTTACTGCTACATTACACATCTTTATTTTTCTTCAAGCAAATGGAAAATAAGCACTCTATCTTCTAACAACTGTTAAGCATATCTAATTTTTGATAATTCGTTGAAGCTTAATTTGTTTGGTTAAAAGATTCTTATTTTTTAAAACGTACTTTTTTGTAAATATGTTCTGTGAATAATTAATTCGCTTCTAAGAGAGATTTCTTTGACTGTATTTGGAAGTACAAGAAAACACGTAGATTTTTTCATTTTCACGTTTACAAATAATAGAACATGAAACAAAATTAAACTTAAATATGTATGTTAATTTGCGCTTCATAAAGTACTACTTAATTATTCTCTTGGAGTTTCTCAACCAATCGGTTTTGGAAAGTTAAGAAACTGAAAATTAGTACAAAGTTTTTGATGAAGTTTTTGTGTTTTTTCTTCTTCCTTCATTTTGAAGCTAACAAATGTTTGAGTGAATCTGGAAATTTCTCGAAAATTTTTCAGAATTTTCGTAAAGAAATTGTAAAAAGTTTTGATGTTACAATCGTAATGGAAAGTACTGACAAGCGTTTGCTCTTGCTGTTTGCATATTTATACGTTCATAACAAAGAACAGCAAAAGTTACACCAAATATTAAATTAAGTAATTACTTTAAAATCACTTTTAGTCATTTTTAGTCTTGTAAGGATAAGAAAATATGGAAGTTTCACTTCTCTTCATTCATTCTTCAAGTTATATTATTTGCATAACGTTATTTTTTGATCACATTGGATTGATTATGATGATTGATAAATAGCTTTACTGAGGTAATGTCGTTGCGTTTGATGTTTGGATTCAGAATTTTCTACCTTCTGATTCCTTGCGTTTGAATCTCCACTAACTCTTCAATTCTTCAACTTGTCTCTCACTGATCAAATCCTGCTTCACTGTATTGAATTCAGAACAAATTTATGCATTATAATAAATACTGGTTAATTTTTGATGCTTGATTCCTGTATTTCATTATTTTATTGAGCTATTCATCTTTGTGCATATTCTATAGTTTTCAAATTTGAAGAAAAAGGAGTCATTTTTAGGTGTCTACTTCATTTCATCAAAGTTGACATTTGACTTGACATTTGACTTGACATTTGACATGACTTCGTGCTGAATTCATGAGTAATCATTTTCAATGATAACGAGACAATAAAGTAGTTTAGTTAAAAATTCAGTGAAAAAGGATTGAAATTTTTAAAGTAAAAGCTTGTAACTGAAATTAATATAAATGCTGTTTCATCTATGGAGGAATATTTCGCTCAGAAAAGTAGCTTTACTTACTTAATTAATTAATCTTAATACCAATGAGGAAGAATAGGTTTTTGAAAAGGAACATAAATAAGAAATAAGTAAAGAAACTTTATTTAATTAATAAAATAATTTAAAATGATTAAATTTACTTTATAATTCACTTTTTTAAAAAGTAAATGTTAACAAAAAGTTATTCAGTGCGTGCGTTTATGTATGTTTGCTACAAGAAGTAAATGACAAGATGCAATTTTGTTTCTCATACAAATGAAAGGAAGAAGCAAACTGTATTCCATTGTATTTTAAATTCAAATCATATAATAATACTGTAATAATTTATACATTAAAATTAAAATCAGAACTTAAAAATGAAAGAGCAGTTAGAATAGAAACTTATTTTTGTAATTATTCTTTTTGAAAAAGTTTTTGTCA